AGAATTTTCCCACAATGATATGAGTTGAGCTGACGTTTCCATTGAATTTCACATAGCCTTGCTATCCCCAAAGTTGTGAATTTTCAAGGGGGAGAACAACTATTAGGAAGCCAAGGCTATGTGAAACTCAATGGAAACGTCAGCTCAACTCATATCATTGTGGGATAATTCTTCTTCTACCAGTCCTCCTTCACCCTAAACGAAATTGAAGGAACATATCTCATACAACTGATTTACGGGTAGACACGAAAACAATACCTAATGTGGATGACTACTTTGCTATCTGGCAGCATGGCAAAGAGTGTTTGGATGACGTCCTTGGTTTAATGAATATAGTAGCTAAGGCCACTAAACGCACTATGGAGTTATAAAAAGACAATAAGTTACCCTTTTTAGATGTCCTAATTAGTAAAGAAGGGCGCAAACTGGGTAGAGATGTATGCAGGAAACCCACAAATGCTGGTTTTCTTCATAATTTATTCTCGAATCATATTTATGTTGTTAAGATAGACGTAATTAAAACAATGTTACTAAGGAGATTATGTCTAGCGGATGTAAATAATCAAGAACAGTAGTTAAAAAGGCTAAGACGAATTTGAGTTGCGAACAGTTATCCGGTAGGATTAATTGTTAACCATTTCAAACTATTGAGAAATAGAATGAAAGAAAACCATTCTTTTGGACAAAACAAAGAATTAAACCACTCTTCTGCTAGGTTCCTAACGCTACCATCCAGCAAGCTTTCAAGAAAGATCGGCCAATTATTGGGGAGATGGAGTGTCAAGACTTGGTATGAAGAAACAATGACGCTTTCCTCGATCATGGCTTCGTTTAGAGGATCTTTCGACGTCTTCTGCAGATCAGGTTGTAACAAGTTGTTGTGCTCATGTGGCAGTGTTTATGTGAGGGAGACTTGTCGGCCCATAAAAAAAAGGCTACCAGGATACAGGACCGCCAGCAAAGATGTATGGGTTGAGAAATCGGAATTGGCTAAACGTGTGGTCACTACAGGACACCCAATAGAATGGTCTAAATCCCAACTTTTTGCCGGATATGGGGACTTGACATCTAAACGAAGGCCCTGTTTCTCAAAAGGTATTCCCATCCAAGCAGATGTGGACTGCAATTTCAACCTAGCACCCACAGTTCTGCTATCCAAGACCACTCGTGGCAGCCTGGCGTGGTGGTTAATGTGTCGAGACTTTACGCTGCACTGACACAAGCCTGGTTCGAGTCCCTCTCTTTGTGGAAGCTGACGAGAACCGGGCGAGGTCGAAGCTGCAGTCCGATCTGGATGAGAATATCTGTCAAGGGAGCAAGGCTGAGTGAAATCGAATGGAAACATGAGGCCTAATCGCATGATTGTCCCTTAATCACCTTAAACGAAGTAGGGTTCAGTTGAACAGAATGTTGATAAATGACATGTATTCACCCCATTTTGTTTAAGGCGATGAAGCATTGGTAGATGGAATTTCCCACAATCATATGAACAGGCCCCATTGAATTTTGAATAGCCCTGCTTCCCAAAAGCCTTTCCCATCGCCGCCGGAGTGGATTTCAGTTTAAGCCTGGCCTCTGGTCTTAGCAACGCCACCAAAGGGACTCGAACCGCGACAGTGCAGCGTATAATCTCGACACCTTAACTACGACACCACATTGTCACGGGTACTGTTGGCTCACAGAAGAGATGTACATTTCAAAGGAGGCCAGACAATTTCCCATATCGCATTCTGTGTTGGGCCAATGTTGGGAAAGCCAATGAGGCAACGATCAACGAAATTCAACGCTCTCGTGAGGCCAACTCATTTGCCAGACGACTTTTCCTAGTCGCCTACTTTGTCTATTCACCAGCTTTCAGGGTTGGTACAGCTCCTCCAAACTAATTTGGTCTGTTTAATCATGCCCAGAAGCGCTCAACCATCCAACGGGCTGCCGGCGAAACGATTCTTCAGCAGAAACCGAACAGTCGAGTGACTCTTCGTGAGCGCCACACTCAACGCCACGGCAACCTGTGTGCTATCACCATCCTCTCGTCTATCCGCGTAACCATGCCCCAGTTGGAATGGGCCTATTTCACAAACCTGCAGAGAGTCGGAGCGCTTCTTCACACATGCGCCGGCCAGGTTGACGCCATGACGACCGGTTAATCGGAACATCGCGTCCTCAGGTAGGTTGCGTATTTCGGGCAACTTTCGCCGCGGCACCAAAGGCTGGCGGTTTGGGCGGTGGCTGGGCTGTAGATAGGTTTCCGAGACAGTTGTATGTGAGCGCAAGCACTTTTCCAAGCTGACAGAAACTACGGCTATCTCGGAAGAGTTCGGCTGATCCATAGGCTCTCCTAACGCCTCTTCGTCAAGTTCCGAGGTCTCATGGGTGCCGGTAGGAGTGGATTCGATGCTTGATGCGTCAAAATACACAGAAAAGTGGGAAGAAAAGAATCGCAGATGAGGCGAAGAAAGCCAAAAGATGTAGGGACAAAAAAAGTTAGCATATGTTTTAAATATAGACAGAAAGACAGACAGACCGATCGAGGGTATGGATAAAATAGCTTATAAATATATTAAATAAAGAAAAGGGGATAAAGACCAAAGTATTGAAGAAGATTGATGCGTCAGTAGATGAAGAGGCTAGAAACTGCGAAAAATATTATACGGAATATTTAGCTTTATTAATTACCATTTAAATTCTGAAATGTGTATCTGGTTCTAACATAACCCAATCACTTCTACACTTTGTTTTAATTTTTTATTCTCGGAAAGAAATGTGGTCACCTGAGGTCATTTAAATGAATAAAAGGATTTCTCCCCAATGTATTCAAATTTCAAGATCTAGAAACAATTTCGAAGTCTATTCATTAAGTAGATAGTAATTACAGTTACGAGTTTTCCAAAGTGTGCAAATTCCTATTTTGAAGAATGAGAATCAGGAGACGCTTGGCTTCATTTCACCCCATTTCGTTCCATCTGTTCCCCCAACTTGCCCTACCTTCCTGAATGCTCGCAGTCTACTGTTAACCTTCTCTTTGACTATTCAACCTACGAACTCGATACCAGCTTCTCAGTATGAAATTTTCACTCTGTTTATCTGACCCTCGTCAGCTTGCTGTATCCCTCTTTCTTTATACAATTCCCTCTATCCGATCTTACCTTTACCCCTATCCAGTTTGGAGGGGCTTTACTTGCTCCCCTTTGGTTCATCTCTCGCCGAAGTGTCATCGTGCTCAAGGCTCATAATGGCCTTACAAATCTTTTCCCCATAAGTGCCAATATTACGTCACCAACTACTCTTCAAACCTCGTATGTACTTTTGGAAAGATGAGTTCTGAAGGATTCCTTAATTATTTCATGTTATAAGACCTTTTATTTCTTAGAATACGGTGTGAAGATACTAAAAGAAACTGGGTTTCGATGAATCTCCTGAGATAAAATTGTTTATGAGATTTCATTTCGTATGAAAGTGAATGAAGAAGATATTCGTAGGTCGATCTCACCAGATGAGGACGGCTGAATCACGTTGTACTGCAGCAGTTTGGCTTTTATGCGACGTATAGGTTGGAGCAGTGCACGAGACCTCCTCTCTCGTTTCGGATGAAAACGGGCTAAGATTTCGTCCATCATTCGAAGGACATCATCAGAGCTTGAACTCATTCCTGTAGAATCATCGCGTTGACGCTAGGGCAAGAGGACTATCCGACTCTATCTTACCTCTTATATAAACTGAATCAAGCCAAAATAAAATTTAAAGCCTGGATAGCTAGATAAATAAGATAATAGATAGATAGATAGATAGATAGATAGATAGATAGATAGATAGATAGATAGATAGATAGATGGATAGATGGATGGATGGATAGATGGATAGATAGATAAATATATAGGTAGGTAGGTAGGTAGAGAGATTGATAGATTAATAGAGAGAGAGAGAGAGATTGATTGATTGATTAATAGACAGATTGATATTTGGATAGATAGATAGATAGATAGATAGATAGGTAGGTAGATAGGTAGACAGGTAGGTAAGTAGATATATAGATAGGTAGGTAGATGGACAGATAGATAGATAGATAGATAGATAGATAGATAGATAGATAGATAGATAGATAGATAGATAGATA